TTTTGACAGCAAAACAAAAGTCCGGTCTCTTGTGGAAAGTGCTCTACAAATTCGATTTCGAAGGGCTCACCTTATAGTAGTTGTCCTGTGCTGATCCTCGTTTATCTCCCTCATTGTCATTTACCGCAACTTTGATGTCATCCGCACAGCCATCAGTCATTATTCTTTTATCATTTTTGAAAGAGTTAAGTAAACCATAGTACTAAATGAGAAAAAGAAACCGTGACAGACTAGCTCCTGGCTCCCAGCGGTACCATCGGCGGGCAATATTCAGCTCTTGATGTAGGATATTCTCTGAGTCAATAGTTATGCACAGATAACTGAGCTCGAACCCGATATCATTTTTCTTTCAGCTCGCGTTTTCCCTTCTTCAGTTGAGCGTGATGGAAAATCGCACTGGGCGCTCATTTGGGCTGAAAAACATGGACATGGCCACCAGGAACAAAGTAATGGGTTTCGGTGAGGCTGCTCAGTTTCTACGTTTTAAATTTTCACGTTCCGTTAATCCGCTGGAGATTGCGATTAACTGTTCCCACTGCTGAACTTAGCCAGAGATTCACTCCCTCTCTTCTACCATATCCGCTGGCTTTTCTGGCCAGTGAATATGGCAGAAGGAATTGATGAATTTACCTTTTATAGTGTTGCCATTTGTACGAGAAATGAAGAAATGCCTGACGAAGATACACGACAATATTGACCGAGCATCTGAGATCGCTTCAGACTGTCGACAGGTGGACTTCTTGTTTTTTCTTTTCATTACTGGTACTTTGTGAAGGGGCGCGGCAGGAAACGTTTCGAAAATCGTTTCCGTGGGCTGCATTGAGATTCCTAAATCAGTGCCCTCCAAGCCGACTGAGTTTCTGAAAACGTTTATACAGGTTGCTCACAAAGAACCCCTTTCCCATTAATGTCCATGGGTGTAGGGCACCTGACTGTTAGTTACACTTGTACGTTTGGTCTGATTATGATGTAAGATACATTCGGTGGTTACTTGGTCGATTACTACCGTAATTCACCGCAAGTCAAACCTGAGCATGTTTTTTCACTACTATGTACATGCAGGGCGACTCTCAAAGGACCCTTCATCAACGGGCAGCGTGACGAAAACCCCATGCTCATTCAGTGAGAATGCAAGCCTAAAAGCTGTGCAGTCATGTTCGCTGCGTATGCTAGGATGTGCCAGAGATGCTGGATTCGGCGCGGCGCCAACCCGTTCTTCACCAGTTGTTGCAGTGAGCAAGCAACAACAAA